GGTGGGAGACATACCGTTCCGCCGACAATACGTCCCAATGGATACCAGGCCCGCTCATCAAACCAATTGAGAAAGTTGTAGTACCCATGCTCTACCATATAATGGGTGGACCGGTAGTTAAACCTGTCATGAGATGGTAAAACACGGCATTTAGTGCGTGGATTGGGTGAAGCAATGGTGTATGCAATGCATGGGGAAGGGATGGCACGATAAGAAGTGTGTGAGAAAGTGATGTCTCATTAGTGATCATAAGTGATGAGTTGTACAAACCATGGGTCGAACTCATGGATAATGCTCTCGAAGCGGATGACGGCGAAGAGTCGCGAGCAGAAGCCGGCCAACCAGGCGAGTGCCAGCACTGTGACCCTCAGGAGGGACTGTCTGCCCAACACGTCCGCCGAAGCACTTCTGTGGCCCTCTTTTGCACGCGAAGACGATTTGCCGGTTGTTATCGCCATTGCTTACAGTCATCACACACTCAACATCACTGACTGTACACATCATAGACTCACAACTCGCACACTCTCGCACTGTGCGAGACATACGCTATGCGACACCAATACTTCACCCACCCTTCCCACTCACCCTTCCCTTCAAATCATTCATTAGTGTTGCTAATCATTATGACTAACTGATCCTACTCACTTCATTATATAATAACAGATGCATAATTGTAATGGAGTTTAATTTGAAAATTCTATCTTTTATAAAGAATTGTTAGAATTGACTCAATATTCCGGCAATAATTCTCTTTCGTAAGGAACTCTTTATTCAATACAAACTTATTCTATGCTATCATTTGTTGACTACAATAACGGCATAACTGTATTACATAATGATAACTCATTTAGTTATAAACTCTAAGATAAATGTGTTTATAAAACAATTTTATGCAAATATTTAACAAATCATACATTGATTATCAGTCTATTTAAATGTAATCCTATAGAATATCCTAAACTAAAAGCCATTTCACAATTCCCTGGACACCCCCTCCCTATACATCTCACGTCATAATTGTGTGGCCCTTATGTGCACCATTAGAGCGCATGTGTTGTGTAAGTGTTTGTCAATTGAATAGATTGTCAATAAAACAACTCTTGGTTTGTCTTCACTTACCATTGAATTGAGGACTAAATTGGAGACAATTATTGACACAAATCATCGCAACATTGGTAGCAATAGGACTCACATGAATGGCTTCGCATACTTTTATGCGGATTAAGAAGTATCACTCATTTGATGACCAAATAGGGAGACATTGATTGTCACTAATTGTGTGATTTGTTTGGACAGAGATCTGAGTTCACTGATAGTGACGGACCCATTGCCGGGCATTATAGCGGTTCCTCACGAGTCGGACATCAGCCAAATCGATGCCCTCATAACGGGTCCCTTCGATACCCCCTATTGCGGCGGATTCTTCTTGTTTCGGATCAACTGTCCGCACGATTACCCCATTTGGTAGATATGAAGGGATGAGTGTTTGTTAAGACATCATAACTAATGTCAATGCAATGCTTGTGTCCACTGCCAGCCCTCCCAAAGTGAAACTGTTGACCACATGCAACGATACGGTCAGATTCAACCCTAACCTCTACAAGAATGGCAAAGTATGTCTCAGTATTCTGGGGTCAGTGCTCATGCAATACCACTACTATATTGTCATTATATTGATTGTGTCTTATTGTGATTCATGTGTGTTCAGGACATGGGATGGTATGTCATCGTAATGGTTAAGACAGATGTGTATTAATGTGTTGCTTAACTCCAGGCCCGAGTTGGAGTCCAGCGCTCACCCTCTCAACTGTCCTCTTATCCATTCAATCGCTACTCAATGATAAGCCATACCATAACGAACCGGGATATGGAAAGGTATGCTAACGTTATGTTGAATTAATTTCTTATGTGATGTCATATATGGGTGACAGGAGTGCGGAAATGTAAACCCGGTTGACGTCGAGAGCTATAATGAGATCATAACCCACGAGACAATTCGTGTGGCGGTGTGTGATATGATTGAGAACAAGAATAATGACTCCAATAACTGTCCAAAAGTCATAAGGAATGCCATTCACTATTGCTTTCAATACAATGAATTTTATTTTCAATTAAAATGCTATTACAGGGAAGCGATTGAGAAGTCATTCGTAGAGTTTTATCCGCATTACGAGAGTGTGGTTAAGAAGAATCTGTTTCGCTCTCAGCAGCCAATGATTGACCCGTTTGGTGGCGAAGATCGGGGTGTTTTTGATTACAATCTACTGTTGAAGAGACTGCAAACATTGAAAGAGAAATACAATGTGAGCGCACAGTTATCCGATGAGGACTCCGAGTCCGATATGGACTGAAACCGAAATCTTTTTATTTCTCGAAAATATATTCAATATATTTATGTTGTTTTTATTCATCAAATGAAATGTTTTTAGCTTTTTTCAAAAAGTATTCATTTATTTAATGATTTTTTAAAACCAAAATATTTGTTGTAATATAGAAATCATAACTAAATGTATATATAATTGTCATAAAGATTTCGATTCCGTTAGAAAACTTAACGATAAGTTATCGATAACTATAATATGATATAAAGAAAGAGAAAAACCTTAAAACCTTTCTGTTAAACAAATTGTTAACGTTTTCAAAACAATTGATTTTATAATTAAAATAATATATATTTCACAACCAATGCTAAAATTATTAGTGTTTGCAAAAACCTAAACATAATTTTTTAGGCACAGACTCACTCGAGCTCAACACTCTTTGTTAATTCATTCAAACCCTAACCTAATTCTCTACTCAATTAATGGAACAAATTATGGCAAAAATATGTTTAAAATATTCATTACAAGTCTTCCGGTTCTCGACGCAAGTATTCCATCATATCTTTGGGGGGAATGTCTTTGCGGCCAATGAGGTAAACGGCTTCAAACAGTGGGTATCCTATTATCACAAATATTACATAATTATAACTAATGATAAGAGAAAAAGACATGATTTGTAAGACTCACTGTCGACGTGTCCATTGGTCTTAAGCATTGTCATCACTTCGCATGCGGTCTGAAATCCCTGCAATTTCTGTCCGTTCAATAACTCCTTTTCCAACTCATCCAACGTTTTGCCAGATTTGACAAAAGCTTCGGACACTCTGCGGTTTCTTCCGCCATAACAGGTTGTGATGAGATCTGCGACACCGCATGACTCGAAGAATGTGGTGTCTTGTGTGCCGTCCGGATAAAAGGTTTTGATAAAACGGATCATTTCTTTGAGTCCAATCCTAATGACAGCCGACTTAGTATTGTCGCCATAACCCAAACCATCAGAAAAGCCTAAAATGTTGATAAATTGAGTCAAAAAAAATCATTTAAAAAATATGAATGAATACATACCCGCAGCCATCGCCACGATATTCTTAAGAGCGCCACAAATCTCAACGGAATAAGTGTCGGGAACTACAGTCACGCGAAAGTTGTCCGTTTGGAACAGTTCTTTGAATACTATTCCATTGGCTTTGTTCCGACAGCCTTTAATGGTAGCAATATTTGGTTTAATACTATATCTACCATTAATTCATCATATAATTAATGATTACATACCGACTGTAGTCTCGCAGAACTTCTCTTCAGCCACCTCTCCGGCCAGATTAGCGCCCATCAGAACCGCACAATCGATGGACAATATATTCTTAATCACATCAGATATCAGTTCTATTCCTCCATTTGGTGTTTCACCGAAACCCTACACATATTTTATATGAAATATTTCGTTAAATATTATTTAATTAGAAATCATTATAAATCAAAACCTTAATCAGAGATATTCCGACAGCAGTTGATTTGATTTTGCCTTTCAGTGAATTGCAAATTCTGGGCACAAAAGCGTGCGGAACCACAAACACCAGAATGTCGGCGTCCTTAGCCGTCTCGACCGCATCGGTAACTGCTATCTATATATTTATGTAAACATTCATTAAATAATATTATAGACAATATATTATCCACAAAACATACCACAGTGTTGGGCAGAGTATGTCCCGGAAGGTATTTCACATTCTCGTGTTGTGAATTAATGATTTCACTTAATTTCTTGCCGTCAATGAGTTCTTCGTAGACATACATCTTCACCTCATTGTCGAAATGGGGAAATTTGGTCACATTTGCGCCGATTATCTTTGCGATCGCTGAACCCCTTTAGAAAAGATAAGAATATCGATTAAAATACATTATTTGTTTGCAATACTCTATTAATATTAATACCAATTTCCTGAACCAATGATCGCCACCTTCTTCTTTGAGCTCATTTTGCAATTGTTTTGTGTTTTTGAGTTAAACTGTTGTGAGAATTAAAATGAGATTCATTTAGTTACACGATATTCACACAAATTAAACAATCAAAAGATGTGTTGAATTAAATAGGAATTAATGTCAAACTGAATGCCAAGAGTCAGGCGCAGAACTCACAGAATATTATGAATTCATGTGATAATACTGTACTACTGTACTGTATTACAGATACAGTAAGTGTACTGTATAACTGTCTAAACAATAGACTACAACACGGTTTAAAAGTAATTTTTTAATGCAAATATTCCCTACAAAAAAATCTAAATAATTTTCATTGAATTAGAATTTAGCTAAAATATTTTCTGCTCGTTTTTTTTAAAACAATTTATTACAACACTTTATAGAAAGGAAAAACTTGCAATGAAATAAGTTTTAAATTATTAATACGTTTTTCGATTTTTTTGATTAAATTTCAAATAATGATTGCCAGCTAACGCTAACTAATGTTTATAATTCTCTAATGCAACATAAAATAATTTCCTTGGATTTACTACTAGTTTAGATTATTACTTGAATTAATTTATATTTTACTAAATTTAAATATATTTACTACTGTATTAAATATAGTGTTACTTACATTGATTTGACAAATAATAAAACTTAATGCTTAAGTTTTACAG